GTGCTGTACTTGTGTGGCAGGAGGTTGGCTTAACTGGACTGTTAATTCCTGTCTTCAGAACACCAGCCTTGCAATGAAATGTACGTCTCAGAGCTTTCACTTACATTAAGGTAATCCCCCTACTTCCAAAGAGTTACATGTTTATCCTGGCTATTGCAAAATCTAACCATGAAATCTTAATCTGGAGCCCACAATTTCTTGAAATTATAAGCAAATTTTGGCACGTCCACCTGTTTTTCCAAGGAGGAGATTTACTACTTCCCATTACATCTCATACAGGTCTCCAATTCTCTAAAAGGCTAGCCTCAAATTAGTTCCGAAAGATATAGTCCTCTGGGAGTCAAAAAAAGCAGTGAGGCCTCTGGGAGTTGGCACTGACCTGCCCAAAAGGGCTGAAGCAGTCTGCAAACCAGGGCCAGCCCCCGAACCATTCTCGGGCCACCATTCTCGGGCCACAGCAAGGGAAAGGGAAAGGTCTTTTATCTCGTGCCAGAATACACAGGCTACATCGCTGAGCACACTGCCTAGGAAGACTGTCCATGAAGGAGCAGCAAGCTGGCTTCCATTCCGGCTCCAGAGCCTCACTGCACTGTGGGCCGATGAACAGCTCACAAGCTGGAGCAGTACCATTTCTCCATCAGAACCAGAGTCCCTTGAAGATTCTCTCAGGGATGTTGCCTGTGTAAAACCCAACCCCAAGAGGAGAATATTTTCTTCCCAGGAGGTGCACTGGCTTCAAACCCAACAGTTAAAAGGACTGTACATATACTGCTTTCTAAGGACCATACGTTCTCAAGAAATTATTTTCAAAGAAATAAGTATTTAATAAAAAGTCTCGTATCTCACCGACAAAAACCTGATTCAAAAATAATTTCAAATATCACACTCACGGACCAATACTCAAAAGTAAGAAAAAGTATTCTGTACCTCAGAATCCTCTTCATCCGAAAATAAACTTTTTTGGGTCTTTGTTTCTGAGACGAGCTTAAGGTGTTTGCTGGAAGGCAGGGTAACCTTTGTTGAAAAAAAAAGTGAGAGCCAACAAATAACACACTTGGAAATGAGGGTTTCTCAAGCATTCATTCAGAAAACTCCAAGTCCCTGCTACGGTTAGACCGCATACCACATGCTGGGGGAACAGAGAAGCCGCGGACCTTGGATGTGTGTAAAATAAATACAAAGGAAAAGCATCATGAGAGAGAATAAAAAACTAGTGTAAGTTAGGAAAGAGGGAAGACGGTTCCTTGAGGAAGCGTGAACCGTCCTAGGACACAGCCTGGGCACAGGGGGATGCTAAAGCAAGGACGTTCCAGGCAGAGGGAGCCAAGTGAGAAAAGCAGGCAAAAGCAGAGGGTGGCAGTGACGCACGAGCACCACATGGC